AAAATAATAAATCTGATTAAGTTAATATTATATAATCCAAAATTATTATAAAACGTTTTAGCATGTCATATATAAATAATTTATTTTAAATGAAGTCAAAATATATACTAAAACAATATTATATATAGAATAAAGTGTAAGAATTATACTATGCTAATTTTCAAGTACCATATATTTTTAAATCTCTAATCATGGGTTACTTAGATTACGTAATTATTTTAATTTCAAACATCATAATAATATATTTGATACTCAAAAATGTATAATCTGAGATAGTAATGCTCACATTAAATTTTTTTATGTAATCTAAACTTCGCACTACTTATTAGTTATTACTTATAACTTCACTAAACTTATAGAGAAATTTTTAAAAACTATTAACTATTACAATAGTTAAATTAAAAAATTAAAAAGAAAAGTAATATTTTCCTTCAATTTTTTAATAATTAATAATTTTTCGCTTTTTAAAATAAATAGCCAAATAAACAGATAAATTGTTTTAATAAAAACATAAAATAATTTTAATCTAAGTTATGAATAAGTTACATTTTAAGTAATTTATATTATTTATTAATCCACCTATAGGGCGGGTTTACCCTATTTTTTCTTTATAAAATATTTATTGTATGGAAAGGTTAATGTAAATAATTTTATATAAAGTTAATCAGATTATATATATATATATATTATATATATATATATATATATATATATATATATATATATATATATATATTATATATATATATATATATATATATATAATACATTTCACTAAAGACTCTAGCATGTAAAGAATATAGCATCTAATTTTTTATGCCACCAAATCTTTGAAACCTAATTTTTTTCAAGGTGTGTATTTATTTCAAAGTTATAATACTTTAGTTTTAAAAAATAAACAGTACTAAAAGTTAAAATATAATTTTTGCATTCAATTTTTTTTATCTTTATCTTCAAACTATAAGTTTAATTATCTTAGAGGATAAAAGCTGTTAGCAATATTTTTATTACTCAACTGGTTTAGCACAATTGCCTTTTAATCTTGAATTGTCTTTATTCCGAAATATGGAAAATGGATAATGTTTTTTTGGCACTATAAGGTTGGCTTCTAAAATTGTTGATTGGAACATTTTATTAGTATCTTGTTTATTTTGGTTATCAAATCTCACACATATTAACAAAATAACGATGATTTTATCCTAATTAATATGCACTATGCATCATAAACTCAGATCTTAGAGTTTAGAAGAATTAAGAAACTATCAAACTAAACCTTACAAGATGCATCTTCTACTTAAACACGAATCCGTTTGTAAAAGCTTTAAAACCAATAATTTAGAAATAGAGAAATCGTAAACTAAAAAAACACAATCATGTGAAGAGCAAATAAAACCCGAAGATTTCAACTCCTGAGTAATAATATGTTTATTGAGTTATAAATAATTTATGATTTCAATAGTTCTAAGTCCTAACAAAACTTCATGTTTCCTCTTTCTCTTGTACTTTCTTCTGAGACAACCAAACAAACAGATGAATCAGAAATGACCAACCACATTAGAAACATATATTTTCCTCTCTACCTCTGTATAAGTAGTAGAACTGATAAAAAAAAAAGACTCAGAAAACTCTAAGTAGGAAACATACTATGGATTATGTAAAGGAGAAAACTGCAAATTAGATATGTGTGTCCCGACATGTGGGACAACTTAGGTTATGGTGAATCCACTCCACGATGCATAGGTGATGATATATGTGGTTGCACCTAAGTAAGTTAACAAACTCTGTCCCAATGAATTTTTCTTAGCAGATGGTGCACACTTTATCAGCCTCCTCCGGGATGGGTTCTCGTTTTGAGCCTCAGAGGTCGATCGTATCTACGTCGACGTCAATACTGTTGGTCGCTTTAGGGTTGAAATCTCTTATAGAGAGGAGAGCACGGACATGTGTACCTATAAGCAGCAAAATTATGTCTAAATTATTCATAGATTCACAACATACCAAACATAAGTTTTTATATTTTCAACACATTTTGTATTAAACTCCTCTAACCCATTAACGAAATATTGGAAGGCGGAGACAATATTCCACGTAAAAAAACAAAAGCTAACCTTTCTAAAATCATATATTTTTATAAATGCTAAGAGGATTCAAGCTGTTAATATGTAAAAAAAAACCTATTTGGTTTTTAAAACATACTAGATAAGAACCTAAGTAAGAATTGATCTATAACTCTGATGCCTAAATGAGAACCAAAAATATACTGACTTGAAGGTTGAGCGGAGATATACTTGCATAATCGGTCAATGATGGGACGATGGAAGCGAACTCATGACTGGCATATTCAGTGATTCCTCCGAAAACTAGGAAGTAGATATTGATATGCTATGATTTTAATGAGTTTTCAGTTATTATTTTAATTCATTTTAATCATTAAGGTTGCATTTAGAATTTTTTATTGTATACATATGTTCATTTGCATGCATAATTGCATATCACCGGGTTTAAATTGCAAATTTGGAAGTTAAAGGCGAAATCATAAATATATTTCTGTGAATTTGAAAGTGTTGGGGCAAGCGTGAAAACAACAGAAAAGTCAGGGAAAAAAGCTGCAAAATTGTAATATTCGCTGGGATGCACTTTCAGAAGTTCAGTAGTTGAATCGTGAGGGTGATTTTGTAATTTACAAAGTGTTGGGCTAAATCTAAAGGAATCAAAAGATGGAAGGACCAGATCAGAAAATAGCTGAAAGTTCACCATTGTTGTTGCTCGATCCTTCTTCGTCCGTGGCTGAAGCGATGACGATTCCGATGACGAGGCTCACCGGAGCACGAGCTCGACCCAAAACACGACGGAGATGAGCTGAGATCTCGTTGACGTGACAAGAAGATTCCGTGGTGAAAGAGTACGAAATGTGAAGATCTCGACGATGTGAAGACACTTTTTGAATCTATGGGTTAGGTAGATCTAGGGTGATTAAGTATATATCTAAGTGTTTCCTTGCGAATTGAGTGTGTTTAATGCTACTTTAGACTTGATCACTCTAGGATTGATCCTTAGTCATTTTCTGCTCACAAGGTGTATGTTGAAATGGCTGAACCAACTTTACTTAGCTCTAAGACTTCTTAGCCAGTGGCATTTGTATCTCAGAAGTTTTAGATAGTTATTAAACCTACTCTTAATGATTGTTTGAATTATTTAAATTAAAAAAACATTGTGTTTAATTAAGTTAAGCAAATGAGCATTTGTCTAGACCTAGAACTTGATTAGTTAAGTTGTTTAGACTTAAGGATACATTTTGATTGAAACCTTAATTGCTTTAGATCAATTGCCTTAATCCCATGGGTTCTACCTTATCATTTGATTGAAAGTTATTCTTGCATTTATTTCTTGATTGGATTTGAGATCACCTTTGTTTATAGTTTTAGGACCTTAGCTTGTTACAAATCATCCATCTTCTTGTTTGCTTAGATTAAGAAATCTTGGATATTCTTAGTGCTATAAGTCTCTAGTTCTCTGTGGGTTCGACAACCTTTTATACCATAGTGATTTGATCTTGGACCCTTGAAAAGTCCTGCATCAGATATCATGGTAGCTAAGCATGTCTTCCATGAGCAGCCATTTCATCCTTTAGATGAACATTATCAGTTGTCGAATACCTTATGGAGAAGTCTATTTCTGTTTGATTGGTACTTATCCTCTTAATCTTGATGGTAAGCTGTCTTTCCGGATAGGTGGTTGCAGTCTGAGGAAAAGGAATAAGAAACACATGGTTGATGATTCATGATGATAACATAAATGAAGAACTCTATGCATTCTCCGGATTGCTCATACTTATATGGTGTTAAGGGTTGAGGTAAGTTGGCTGTCTTACCAGTTTCCCGTAACGGTTGTGCGTTTCCTGTTTGGTTTAATTGTTCTACTAAATGAAACATCATCCTACTTGTAAACGGAGATCGTAGCTGTGTACGTGAGAGACCCGATGGCTACTACGACTCTGCTTTATTCACATGGCAGCCCAGCTGATCTGGGTCAGATATATGAGTTCTTCTCTTAATCGAGCATCGATCTTAAGGTTAATCTCACTCTTGTCCTCTCTGTCTTTTTATTAATTAATTATACCCCTAACAGTTTTCTATAATCTTGGTGTTGTTCACTTAGCTATATAACCTCGTAGAAAACTTTACTTGAGATTTCATCAAAGCCAAAGACTTGATTATGACAAACAACGCAAACGAGACAGACCTGGCATATGATGGATTTGATGTCTCCTTTTTTTTTATCACAAGGTTTTATCTGATAGAGCAGTGCTTACTGTACCAATTCTCTCCTTTATATGTCGTAATGGAAGTGACTAAGAGCTCTGATGATTAATACCACATATAGATGTTTAATCAGTTCCTTGTCTATATTTCTCTTCTAAGCTGCAGAAGAAAAATAAACATATGCCCTTCATATATTTTCTACATCTTCCTCATAACACTATAATTTTCTTAGTTTTACGAACCAGTTTAAAAAGAAATAAGGTACTCTAATTTAAAACCATAGACATGACATAATTGTCGTGATAAATACCATGATAGACTTACAAAAAAAACTACCCAGCATTCTGTTGTACTTATTAACCATCTTAGCCCCCGCATTCTCAGAGTAATGCTTTGGTGGAGGCTCAGTTAGAACAATTTCTATTTAAGGTAGTTTTGGAAGAAATAAATGAATCAGGAAAACAAAGTCCACAAGACTCACTTAAAAGTCAAGAAAAAAAAAGCATCAGATTTAACAACACTAAAATGATCAACATCATACATAAAGAAAGAAATCGGTAAACATAACTATAACCAAAAGAGATTATAACAAAGATAGTTCAAATGCTGCAAGACAAAGTCCGAAAATGAAAAGAAACAAAGCATAGTCTTTTAACAAACCAAAACCAGTACTTAAAACCTATTAACCACAATTTTCACGCTTGGCTTCTTCTGACTCAATCATATCAGAACTCCTTTTCACCCTCTCATCTGAGATTCCTCATAACCAATGGAAGGACCATCCTCACGCTTATCCATCTGCAAAGTTTCCTCACCAGAAGGAACAATCATGTTTTCTCCTAAGTTGCCTTCAGGTTCTAGAGCTTCAGGACAGAGTACCTTGGTGACAGTTAAAGCTTTGGTCTTCCCTGTTAGACTAGCAGCAATGGGCGTGTTGAATTTTTAATTCAGCAGTTGAAACTTCACAGTGAGGGTGTTGATTTTTTTGTGAATCAAACGTGAATTCAAATGAGTTGAAAACATTCAACCTGTTGAATGCTACAAAAATGAGACCCATGAGAACAGGTGTCAACACATAAGAGGAAGAGATAGGAGAGAGAAAATTGAGTTTCGATAATCAACCTCGTTTTAAAATTATGCTGCCATTTCATTGGCTGCTTTAAATCTTGGAGATTTTTTATCCCCTCAAATTATTAGAACTCAACTACTTTGTAACAATAATTTTTTTTAAAAAAATAAAATTTATATCAAAATTCATAATTTTTTATGATCTATAAATAGAAACTAGTCTCATTTTATAAGGATACATAAAAAAAACTTCAATTTTCACTATAATTTAGCTTTTAATCAAAAAAAATTGTGTGTTTAAACTTTTTTTGTCAATAGATCACAATAATAGTCCATTTAACACTCAAATTTGAAATTTTGAAATTTTATTTGTTTTAAGAAAAATAATATTGTATTTTAAAAAATAATTAAGAAGATATATTAAAATAGTATTTTTATTATTTATGTCAATTACACACGAAAGTATTATTTATGTAGCTATTAAAAATATATAATATAATAATAATGATTTAAAAATGGTGGGGTAAGGTGTTTAATTTTATTAAACAATATTATTGTAGAGGTTAAAATGAAGTGGTGTTGAATAATTAGGTGGAAGAGAGAGAAGATGATGTGGAATTTAAAAAGAAAAAAGTAGGGTTTTGAATATCAACCATTGTAGATAGTCTTAAATTGTAAGTTGATACCTTGACAATGAACTTGTAAGTTTGCCCAATGGTATCAATCAGAGCTTGAGGCACCGGGACTACGTGATCATCTCCTACGGTTTCATTGGCCTAACACAAATTTAAAAGCTTTTGAGAATACATTTCCAAAGTTGTATGATGGATAGGTTTGAAATTACCTCAAAGTAGTTCTGAACCAATTCTGAGGCTTTCTTCCCATCAACTCACACCCAACATCAGCAAGAAGCACAAAATTGGTGTGGTCATTGTTGTCATAGACAGAGATCTTTGTGAGGTACCTTTCACGGAAGCACATTAATAATGAAAGCTGTAGGTGTGAGTGAAACAAAATCTATAACTCTTACTCTGCAATACTGGCAACATCAGCTTTTCCACATTTCTTACACATAAGCGTGGTTGGCCCTTTGGTTTCCTTAGTTCTGCACCCACCACATGCAATATAATATCATGGAGAACCATGGACAACATCATTAATAGTGGTTGTGTACTCAAACCAAGAAACTTGCGTAATTGTAATATGAAATATCATAAATAACCAAGGTCTGCGTAGTGAATGTGTGAAACATATGAGTTGTTGTACCTTTGCTCCTTCCTGCTTGATGTAGGATTATAGTTCCCCTATAGTTACTGTCTCATTCTTTGTGACAATATCCGCATTAACCCTGTTAGCAACATCTGAGTTTGAGCCCAATCTGAAGAAATGTTATACAAAAATTAATGATACGTGCTCAAATTATCCTATGGAGAAACTTAATTACTCTCTCAAATAAGAGATCTGTTGCAGTACTTATGGATCGAATCCACAAGGATCTAAGGAACCACTTAAATCTAATCAAGCAATAAAACTAGGTAAATATTAATAGTAAATCGCAGTAAGCAAGTAAACTGAAAATATGAAATATTCTAATTGAGCAAGACAGTTACTCGACAAGAATGAAATAAGGGTTTTGAACTTAAATGAAAAGGTGTTAGACTTAGGGTTTTTATTCAGGTGTTGGAGATTATAATCCTATAGGTGCTAATTAGTTGTTTGTAAGGTATTAAAGAGTTTAACTATCCTATTAATAGATTCATTAAACATTCGTTTAATAAATAAGTCTAATGACTAGAGTGTTATCGACCCAAACAAGAATGTTCGATCAACAACAATGTTGATCGATTATTCTAGAGGAATATCGATCGATACACTTTACTCGACGTCGATCGATTTCCAATGAGAATATCGATTGATGCGGCTAGTCAAGCTTGACACGCGAGTTAATCAACACTCACTATGGATTCCTAGATCAAGCGATTTCCTTATCTCTAGTAAAAATCCTAGCTTAATCAGGATGTGTTCAAGATTATCAGAGTTATCTAAGGATGCTTAAACAACCTAACAAACCTAGATTTAGGTTTCTAGTTAGCAAGTCTGAAACATAAGCATTAAGAACATCCTATTAATGAATACCACAACAAGCGATCTTATAGTTGGGGCAAATCTCACTAACCTATTTAAACCCTAATTCTAACAAGTGAACTACTCAGACATGGCAAACAATTCTTAACATAAGCAAGGTAGATAAATTGCATAGTATAGATAGATAGAAAACAATGGAGTTCCAATCACAAATCTCTCTGTTGATCTTCTCTCCCAAACTATAACATCCTAAAACCTTTTGCTGTAAAAAATAATTAAAAAAAGCCTATATGCCTCTAACACTTTGGCAAAATATATAAACTTAGGTTAAAACTCATCAGGGGTAAAATCGTCATTTGGTGATGTTTGGACTTCAAGTAGACTGTCTCGCGAATTGGTCTTCCGCGCCTTCGGCATTGATCGATCATGCTAGGTGCATATCGATTGATGTGAGTCACTCCCTGTCGACCTCGATCGTCTTGGTCGATCCAAATCGAGTGATCTCTATAATTCTCTCTAAAATGCTCTAAAAACGTCACTTTCTTCCAAAATATTCTTGAACCTATAAATATGCTTAAAAACTTCTATAATATAATAAATAATAATAAAAACACCAATATACCATGACTAAAAGTAGGTCAAAATCATATTATATCAATTAAGTAAGACAAAGTTTTCATATTCTTATCCAATACATGAATACATACCAAGTCAGATAATCCCTGGTTGGATGAACATCTCAGTCAAAACACACATGAGAATATGCTAGGGAGGAGCGAGATAGGGCGCCTGTAGCATAACAAATGTTACCATACCAAACAGAAATAAACTATTACATTAGAAAAGGAAAAAACAAAATCTAACTAAAGAGCTAATGAAACTAAATTATGTTCTTCACGCATCATATTAACATCTATAAACAATAAAAAAAATTTGGTAATACCGACCTCCATATCGTTTCGGGTTCAAAGTGGTAACCAAAATAACAGTTGGAGTGTATCTATGCGCTTTAATTTTTTACAGAAGTATGTCGCATTCTTGTCTCATAGGTAGAGCTTCATCAGAGGACCACTACAACAAACCGAAACTCATGTGATAAGTGAAATGTTATATGTATAGATCAAAAACATTGGGTTTAACTTACTCATGAGTTTGAACAGGAAGCAGAATTTGCCGTGTGGAAGTATCTCGGCTTCATCAAGCACAAGACTATCATTCAGAGTCTACTCAATTACCAGTTTCATGTGCCCAACATAATCTGCAAGGTCAAAAATAGAACTTAGTACTCTATATACTCAACAGCCGAGATATTAGGAATCAAACCTAAGCAAATAAGATCAAAACATAACATTAATCTGCAAGGTCAGAAATAGAACTTAATACTCTATATACTAAACAACTGAGATCCCAGGAACCAAACCTAAACAACTAAAATCCAAGCCAACCAGTTTCAAAGCATTAATTGTGGGCAGAGCTTACCATAAAGACCCCCTTTGCGGTCATATGCAGCTTCAAACTCTTTGTATCCATGGAACCGGAACCGGTCTTCAGGAAACCGATCTGAACTGTCCTCTAGAACAGAGAGGACAGAGTTCCTTGAGAAAGTAATTGTCACGCTTGGCTCAGCAACCCGGTACACAATCTATCTCTTAGATCCTTAAAACTTGTTGAGTCTTTAGATGGAACCGGCTATCATGTGTGGCAAATAGGTGTCAATCCTTCCTGGTGGGATGAATCCTTCAGTAACAGAACCATGTTGATAACAACAAAGCAACGACTGTTGGAGTTATATTGTCGAGCAATCAAGACAAAAAAAAAACAGACAGAGAACCAGAATAGACCCGTTCGTCAATGAGGAGCATCTCGAGACCAATAAGTATCTTCGTGAGTGGGTTTCGAGCCTCTCAAAAATAGATCAGACAAAACCTCAACTCGCCTTCTTGTAGGCCGAATTTGACATCTCTGAAGAACAAAACTTCATCGGCTTTGGCAGAGGAATCAGAGTGGAAAACCGCCTTGCTGTTTGGTTTCTTCATAATAGGGTCGCTGGAGACAGATCTGGTAGAGGAGACACCAGCTTTGGCGGAGGAATCAGGGTGGTTGCCGTTTGGTTTCTTAGACATAGGATCGCCGTAGACAGCATCGGTGGAGGATAAAGCCGGTTTGCCGGTATGTTTGATCGGTGTGATTTGCCATCGGGTTACATTGCGGATTCGGCTTCTAGAGGTGATTCTCTGGATTTTGATTGGAACCAAGAAATGGTGAAGAGGTTTATAAGAGTTACATAAAGGAGGTGAACCGAAAGACATTAAATATGGGAGTAAAGAGGATGTTTGATTGTTAGTGGTGATGAAGATCGGGAGGACGGAAAACGGAGAAGATGAAGTGAGTGAAAGCAAATTGATCGATGACTCAATTTGTGGGATTAGGGTTTGTGAAATCAGGTTCAACAGAACCGTGCAATTGTATTATCTGAAGCAGAGGTGATGTGGCAAATTTAGGTTCTCCGGTTGGTTGATTTTTTTTGTCCGAGTCTCTTTATGGTTATATTTACCTTTTACTTGTTGTTAGATATCTGTTACTCTCTCTGTTTAATTTTTTTTCTACAACGACACTTAATATGAAACAAAGAGAGTATTACTTTTTATTTAATTTTAAATAGATTAGTATTACTTTTAGGTTTCATTTATTGTTAAAAATAAATTGTGGATTAAAGAACATGAATTATTGATTTTGGAACATTTATACATTGTGGATTAAAGAACATGAAGAATTTTTGATTGATCATAACGGATTTACAGAAGTTAACTAGCTACTCCTCTCAAGATCACTGGCCAATCTTTCACGCTGACTTGAGGGGAAAAAAACTCCAACTATTACAAATTTTCGTCTTCGAAAGAAAAAAAAAAGAACAAAAAAACCCCCACGCCGGGGGTTGATGCCTTGCTAATACGGATCTTGTTAGCCGTTTTTTCAAATTTTAATTTCGTTACAGAGACCATCGCGTAGCCATTATTCAGCTTTCTTGGAAGTTTTCGACCACTTTATCTGAACATGGAGATTAGAGACCTGAAGAACACTTCATCACAGGGTATGATAAGACCCATGTTATGGTCAAAACCAAACTCTTCCTCTGCTAGTCGGAGCAACGTTTTAAACTCGGAGTGTTCGAGCCACGAGATGGGAACGATGTACCGACTTCGGTTCGGTCCAACGTAAACCGGAAAGTGACCTTTTGGCACGTCTTGTGGAAAACTATCATCTTCATTATTATAGTAGCAACCATTGACGTTCTTCTTCTTCCCTAGACTCGAGCATCTCTTTAAGATTTGCTTGATCGATGATGCTTGAGATGACCTCTTTATTGTCATTATTTAATTTACAATTTTTTTTTCTCTGAAACTTGGGTTTCGTTTGAAGAAATGTTATGGACGTTAGAGGTACATGGATAAGTATTTATATGGAGTAAGGACAGATTGGAATGCTAATAAATTGATAGAAAAAAATATGTGTTAATATGTACAGAGACATACAATGCTTTTATAATTAGCTGAGTATATAACTATATAGATAATAATAACTAATTTGCTTTGTTTACTTCTGGCGTTGAGGACAGCAGTGAATAAATTATAGGTATTACTAGGTTAATACTCCCGTATTTGCGCGGGATAAGAATTATATATATAAATTATTTATATCTTATTCTTTATTTTGTGTTATTTTATATATTATAAAATAAATAAAAATATATATTTAATATTTAAAATTTTGTAACTATTATATATGTGATTAATTTAGCGAGCACTTAAATAGAATAATCATATTTGTTTATTTACAATCACTTTATATAAGTAAATCTAATTAATAAATGATAATATATATATATATATATATATATATATATATTATACTTTTAATTCGTATATCTCATAATTGAAGTTTCACACTTACATGGTTTATGATCATTTGTATATTTTTATAATAAAAATTTTAGAATATTGATAACATCATTTTTAATGTGAAGAATTTAATAATTACAGTATTTTATCATCGTTTAAAACAATTAAATTCAAAGTTTGTCATTAAATTATTAAATTCTCAATACTTGTTCAATGAAATTTTGGAATTAAATATTTATGTATTTTAAATGGTATTTAGTTTAATTTAAACATCACTAAAAAATTATATATATACATCTAATTTAAATATATATTAAATGATATTTCTTATTCATTAATTATATAATTTTTTGTATCGTGTTATAAGAAAAAATTTAAACTACTAATAAAAAATATTATATGTGGAATTTTTAAAATTTTAATTAATATATAGTCGTTTTTAAAAATTCAAAATATAACATATATAAAAAATCTAATTTTGTTTTTTATATAGTTAATGTTATTGTTTAATTTATTTTCACAATATAAATTTAACAAAAAAGAATAGAGACTATACAATTTTTTATTAAATCTTTCATATTTAAAACATTAATTGTAATATATATATATATATATTATAACCATATTTGGTAATTCCGTAAATTTTATTTAAGGAAATATTGATTAGCATTAATAATAGTTTTATGATTAGTTTAATAAAAAGTATATTATATGTTTATATGGACCAACATTTTTCTTCAAGAAATTTGAGAAGCATTCTTTTAATGACACATGACTACCAAAACATGTTGTAATGCTTCTCAATTAATATATAAAGGATTAACTGTTTGTTCAAACATTTACATGTATCTATATATGTATTAGTATATATAAATACACAAGACTATGCTTTTCTAATTTGTTAATTTACTAATAGATCATAATTTATTATAATTATTAATAGATCACAGTTAGGTTTATTTATGATTTTAACAAATTTAGGGACTATCTTTTTTTAACGGCTATTTTTATTTATTAATAAAAAGTACAAACAATATCCAGAAATACATTGAAAAACATAATTAATCTGAAAGAACAAAAGCACATAGAAAGTCAAATTGATGATACTTCTCTAGAAGAGGCCTTGTTGACTGATCTTCTATTATGTATAACTCGATGTAAAGAGAGAAAGAAGGTTATACAATATGCATATATTATTTTACTCAAAAACGACTAATAGTTAGAAACATATGCATGCCGTGATTTAAATTCGGATAAGAAAACACACGTATAAGGATAAAATCAATGAAAACACACGTAACCACGTTTATTCTGGTGTAAACATTTATAAATTTAATTAACATTTGACATTATAAGCATATACACGGATCCAAGTTCAAATTTCACTGACATGTAACCGAAAGCAATCATGTTTATCCCGTAAATCTAGATTTCTGGATCAATCATAACCCTATTTATTGGGATCATATAAAGCCAATTAGCCAAATGTCCTATTTGGATTCAAATTAGGACATCTAGATATCTTGTTCTTCTGAAAGCAAAATCATGTGGTATGTAGGAGGCAAGGACAAATACAGTTGAAGACAGAGCCAACAAGGACGCGAGAGAGATGCAATTAAAATTGTGAAAGAGTTACAGAAAAAAATGGGTAGGGACTACAACATTGCCCTACAATGTCTCCCATTTGCCTTTACATACTTAGACACAATGTTACAGACAAATGTCTATTTTGTTTCTCTTACTCTAATATCACATACATCATAAAAATGAGACCATGGTTGTTATATATCTTTATAGATGTGAATGTTCATAATTACGGACGAAATTAGAGTCTTTGTAAGTTGTATCCAAAGGACGTACTTTCGGCGATATATATATAAGGATATTCCTTGACCAAAAATATATCGTAAACCCTTTGTCTTTGTTTCTCATACGTACAACGTGCATTTTGTAGCAAAATTTATTAAGTTGTCTCTTACAACAGGCCATTATTGAAACACATACAAACGCCCATTTCTCTCAATAAAAAGATAGAGAAGAACATTTTTTTTCCCTAACAATGTCTTATAAATCCAAGGCATGACTATCATTTTTGAAGTTACCATTTAATATAAAATAGATTTAACAATACATTTGCGCGGGGTAGACCCTAGTTTTTCGAAGGTAAACAACACCACATAAATTTTATAATCTTGTGGCGAAATCGTGTGTAAAAGATTAAGTATGGTTTATAGTAGTTCTGTGTACCCTTTTCTGTTGTTGTTTAGTCATTACCATTTTTCTACAGTCATTATTTATAAACCTATATAAAAAAAAACGTTAATAAGAATTTACTTGTTTTTGAAAATAAAGTAAATAATTTAAAAAAATCTTGCAACCAAACAAAAAGAATCTTTACAAATTAAAACTAGCAGAAAAATTCTAAATAATATATATACAGTATATTGAATTTTGACTTTAATCACCTAAAACCCAATTTGTATATTTTTATATAAGTATCAAGGGATTTATGTAGTTTTCTTTAACTGAGGATTTATGTAGGTCACTTGGGTTTATATCAAATAACAAATAATATTGTTTATAATTACGCCAAAATCTATGCGTATACTGAATACTCTTGTGATGACGAACATCATTTGGTCAAATCAATTTATATTATTTTGTGGATAATACATATGTAAGATGGTCAGCACAAAGGATTTATGTCCCCATCTGAGAATTAGAACAATTCTTTAGGCACGAACCTAATCTTATGTTTTATTCTGAAATTTATCCTCGAAGTTGATGCCTTGTGTTAACGTACTTCCTCCCCGTTCTTAATCATTTTCTTAATCGAAAACAATTTCTTTATCTCTATCTCTTTGTTTTTCTTACTTGTTAATCTGACCATAATATCAAATCATGTTTAAGACTGTGGTCAGACGGTTAAAAAGATATCAGAACACTAACATATTTCTAAGTTACATCCATCTTTTATACGAAACTTTAAGTCATACTACTATTCCTGAACACTTATACGAATATAGATGTATTCTTTCAGGTTTATTTACATACCTAAAATGTACAGTGCACTTTTTCTTATATATTAGGTTAGACTTTTCCATAGACGCGAAATATCTCAGATTAATAAAAAATAATATCAAATAATCGAATCTTAGTTTTCATCTTCAATCGTCGTTCAAAAAAAAAAAAAAAGTTTTCATCTTCAATCTATAGTATCTATCCAATCTTTATTTTTAAACACGATCTCCGTATGTCAATCTATAACGAACTATCAAAATTAAATTCCTTCAAAGCCTTCCGTCAAAAAAGTTATATTAAATTCCTTCTACATGCTACTCCATGAAGAATAAAACTATAAAATAGCGTTCCAAGAAAAGAATGATTCCACAGACTGTGATGATTAGCACGAGTTTTACTAATAATCTACTCTAAATAAAAGAAGGATATCAAGCCTTTTAAGAGCATCCCTGTTAGGGGTTCTAAGGGAAGGTTCACACGTTTTTCGAGAGGAACAGTGACGAAGCCAACGAGTGTGGGTTCGTCGTGGTGAATTCGGTTCGTCACGGGTTCGCCACAAAGCGGGCTGTGATTCGCCAAATTTTTTTATTTTTTTTTCAAAAAAATAAAAAAAAAAAATTTAATTTTTATTCCTATGAACCTCTCCCCATCAAGTTCACTAATGGGGATGCTCTAAGGATGTCCACACAGGTTAAAAAATTATCCAATAGAATTGTTCTATTTTGTCACATTAGTATAATTGCATTTTGATCTCTCATTTTTTTATAACTTTCATTATGATCCTAAAGGCTGAAATTATGCAGAATAATCCTTGATTTTCGTCCAAACTTCTCAATTGTGCATCTTAAACCCTCTTAAATGCAATTATGTATGCAAATGCAATATAAAAACATAAATACAACCTAGAATGATCATAATAAACTAAAATATGAATCTTAAACTCATCAAAATCAGGAGATATCATCGAGTTTTTGTACAGTATATATTTTATAATTTAAACAATTTTTATATTTTTGTAAATAAAATATTTAACAGACATAAGGAGATATTTTACTATATTTCAGTTTATGTATTATTATTTTTGAAAATATTAAACATTTTCTTCACAGTATACATTTTAATTATTTTATTCCCGTAGTAATGTTTTTATATGGTTAACACAAAGAAATCAAAACCGTTTACTACTGCTGACATACTATAAAGGAGGTGAAATAAAAATTATATATATTTTAATCCTTGTTATAATTATTTAGTTTTATATTTTCCTTTTCATCGTGGAGAATGTTGGTCTACATACGTTTAAAATAAGGAGATATTTTACTATATTTCAGTTTATGTATCATTGTTTTTGAAAAATATTAAACATTTTCTTCACAATATACATTTTATTTATTTTATTCTCGTAGTAATGTATTTATATGGTTAACACAAAGAAATCAAACCGTTTACTA